AATTGCAGCAAAAGGTGGTTCTACAAAGTATTGACTCAGGGGGCTGAATAATTACGCACACCCCACATTGCAGTTCTTTATTTGTAAAAAATGTTTGGAATCATGTATGATTTTGGTTCCACTTCTAACGTGTGGACCACTTTGTATTGGTCTTTCACGTGGAATTCCAATAAAATTGATTCATGTTTGTGGCTGTAATGTGACAAAATGTGGAAAAGTTCAAGGGGGCCGAATACTTTTGCAAGTCACTGTAAATATTTAAAAGGAGATGCGTAATGACTAATAAGACGACTACTGTTTAAATGATGTCTTTGAAGCCCTTATGGTACATGTTACACAACTTTCCTTCATCCCAACAAGACTGAGGTGCCCACATAGTTGACACACGTATGATGAGCACTACCTGACTTACACCATCAACAATAGGGGCAGTCAAAGCTTTGTTGTTAACAGATTGTATGAAAAAGTCAAAATGTCTAATTCTACACTTGTGTTCGGTAAAGTTGTATTCACTGCAAGTTCAGGCAGTTCTACTTGGAGACTGGCTGAAAATATTATCATGCTTCCAAAACATTCAGATTTTATAAAAATAAATAAATAATCCCCTTATTAATCCTTCCATTTGAGCATCACCTGGCCAAACGTGGGGCTATTCTAGGACCTTTCGCCTTGAGGCAACTGTTGTTATCATTTGACTCCATATAAATAAAACTGAATTGAATCCAACTATTTGCTGGCAAACAAAAACTCCCAAACAGCTAAAATACTTTGCTTTATTATCTTTCTTAACAAATACGCTGAAGTACATCCACAACAACACAGTTGAGATCTCCTTTTTAATCAAGTGTTTACATCTACACGCTTTGTACAGATCTGTATACAAAACAATAATTTACGTCCCATAGAAGTCTAGTTACACTTAACTATACAACAACTTGTAAATGAAATAAATATAAAACAGATAATCACAGGTGATAACAAAAAATGAAAAAAAAAAAAAAAAAAATGTAAAAAGCCAAAAGTACATGTACACCACCAGCACCTGTCTTCTGAAGTTGCATCTAAAAAGATATACATGTTTCCCTTTCTACAGGCAAAAGTACATCTGTGTAGGAGAAATCAAAGAGTTCAGTCCTTAGTTTTATAACAGCAGCACCAGATATACTATTCAACTCTCATTTAGACCAGACACTTATATTAGGACACTGATCTGGCATATTTATTTATAACCCAGTCTAACATTGGTAGCATACTGATACTTGCAGATTACCCTTTTTCAGTGATTTAAAAGATATGTCAATCGATACAAACAAAATCATTGTTATGAACAGTTCATCAGTTTTCAAAAGAAATTGAGGAGGAAACATTTTCCTCTCTTCACAAATTAAAAAAAAAAAAAAAAAAGTCATGTCAAATTAAAAGGATTTCAAATCCGAGAAAGCATTAATGCGTTAACAAAAAAAAAAAAAAAAAAAAAAGCAAAAAAAAAAAAAAAAGTATTAGTCAGAGTAAAGTTTAACATTTATGGCTGAAGTCATGTTTCTATAGTTTCCATTAAGACTATTTTAACATTCTGGATTACTGCTAATTAACTTCAGCTCTGTAGCATAAACAACAGAGTCAAGGTCATTTCCTGGTTTCACTTTCAGTTGTTTTGTTATTAACTGGAAACAACTCAGTCAATTGTGATTTAGTGGCATAACTTTTAGAAAATGTGGCACTATTGACAAACATCTGGGTCAAACTATATATTTGATCAGGTCTCTTAACTCAAGACATGTTTATAAAACATTTATTTTATTACACGGTCTCAAAAACTGCCACAAACAGCTCATTGTTGATTAAAAATAAATAAATAAATAAACAGCTGATGACTGTGGCACCAAAGTTGACTGTAGACAGTTTACAGTTTTACTTTACTTACCCCGGATCTGTAGATCCACTATGGGGTGAAGATCCTGCATAGAGACTCCGATGTTGCTTGGATGATAACCATCAGTTTCAAGCTCTCCATTATCCAGGTTACGCGCGTCGTGCCCGTTGCTGTTGATGTCCCAAGAAAACTGGAACTGTTCGCCTAGCGAGTGAAGCTCCTTCATGTAGCTTGCG